ACGTCGGTCTGTTAGTCAGTCGGCTGGTCGGTCAGACAGTCAGTCTATTTGTCTGTCGACGTGTGTCTCTCTGACAGTAAAATATCTTTTGCTCACACTGAACTCAATTTGCTGCATGTTTGTCTGTCTGCCGTCTGTCCGTCTATCTGTCTCGTCAGAAAGTCTCGCAGTAAAAAAAAACTGGATCATTGAATAATGCAATTCATGAGAGTTTTCATTGGCTTAGCTATCATGGTAGATGGTCAATTAAACCATTCACTGCAAATATGGTAAGCAAGCGCGTAATTTTTGGGGGCGTTTTTGTTTTATTTTAGTTTCTATATTTGAGGGGGGGGGGGCGTTTTTAATAAAACGAATATTCCAATTGCATTAGTTGAATATATAAACAATAGCCTCCATTTGGCGTAGAAATATGCTCACATATTTAGTCCGCGGACACATCTGTTCCGAGAAGTGAAAACTGTGAGCTTTTCAGGAACAGATAATGTCCATTGACAAATCTCCGAGCATAATTTTGCCCCAAATGGAGGTTATTGTGTTTATTATCCTTCAAATACTTTTTGCAACACGCGCAGTTTTAAAAATTGGGGAATATCACTCGGATATTCCCCAGTTTTAGCTGGGGAATATTCAGTCACGTGACGCATTTAAGCCAATCGCGCCCAAGCCAACGAGGGGCATATCTAACAAGCGCGAGTGAAATAATTGTTAAGTATTTTTGCATTCTTTCCACTTTCTAAGGCGAATATGCCAACTGAGAATTATAGAAGACTGCACGCCTCTCCCGGGCAACTTGTAAATATTCCAAACCAGTTCAAGAAATACGTAAGAGGTCCGGGGGGAGACAATCTTCGAAACGTGAGCACTCTAACTGGAGCAGAAGTGAGTCAACTGGAAAATTATGAGCTGTATGTGACAGGAGAAAAGAAAAAAGTGCAACATGCCGAGTATCTGCTTAGAACCAGAGCGGTAAGTTGTACATAAGCATTGCCTACCTTAGGAAAAGTAAAGAGTCTTAAGTAAATGTCTGTTCTAATGTTTTGTTTAAGCCCCCTCAGGATAACGACCTTTCTAATGAAGTAAGTTAGTAAGGAAGTAAATATTGTCGCAGCTGCGAAGCAACTTGAACACGTTTATGTAATACAAAGGCTTTTACATGTAACTGCGTATCAATAAGTTTGTTCCACCTTGTTCCTATTGCTTTCCTTTCTTAGAAACATTCTCCTTGGTTATCGGTATATCACTAATCCAAGCAGACACCCATTACAGCTTGTCAGTGATTTCTTTATACTGCCGGCTTGAGGCTTGATCGGCGATAGTCGATGAAGTGCAGGATCCTTATGAGTCAGCTATCAGCCAATACAAAACGAAAAAGAGCAATTCGTGTTTTTACGAGACCAAACGAGTGCATAATCTGTTTTTACAAAGATTATCGATAAAACTACAATATAACGGCCAGACGACAGTTTTGTTTAACACATTCAGTGTAAATTTTGGCCACAACGCTGGCAAGATCGCGTTCACGCCTCTAGGGCCTTCCATACTTCAAGAGAAAGTAACTGCATAGGCAATCAAATTGCAAGCTTACCACAAGAATTTTTAATTGGAAGCTAGCTCGGCTGCCGGTTGTTCATAAATGTCAAAAGCAAACTCCTTGTTTTTTTTCCAAGGCTGCAGCGAGAGTCAGGCCAAACAGGATTTGTGTTTTTATTGACGAGCGACACCTTCCGCATGGATGCGAACTTAAACTTGTGGCTTTGAATGAAAGTGAGCGTATGATACTGCCTGGAGCACAGTCACAGTATCGTTTGAAACCTGTTGACGAATACGAATCACAGG